ATTTCAGCAGCATACAAGTGAGTTGAGCAAACATATATTATTTACATTTCCGACTAATCAGCACGAATTTTCGAGCAAGACTACTTTAGGTAAATCTAACAAACGTAATTACAACAAAATCACTGACATAACAAAGAATCCCAAATTGAAAGCGTCCAACCCTAGTCCTGATTGGAAGTAAGAAAGCAAAGGTATAGGCGCATACACGAGAAGAGGAAGAAAAACATAGAATAGGAATTGGGGAGTACCTGATATAGTTGCCCAACAACCGAATTGAGAGAGCGTGAAAATTAAAGCACCAGACATCCGATTTACTTATTTACCGATTTTTGGACAGAGGTTGGGGAGAAGACTGAGGGCTATAGTGAAAGGGGGGAGAAAAAGAATAAGCCGAACTGAGTTAAACCGGTGCTAAGAGAATACAAGCTAATGCACCTAATATAATAGTAAATTATAAGTGTTCAACTCACGAAAATTACGTATTTGATCGAGTTAAAACTAATAATATTCTTAATCGAGTAGCAATAATGAGTTGTAATTACCTGATGACTAATTTGTGACATAACTAGAACTCAAGGTAAAAGTTTATCAAATTTGTAAAATGCATTGCTAAATTATAAAATCTCCTCGTTATTCCATATTTAGTCCAACAATTAAAATGACACATTGCTACCATACGAGTTGGTTAATGTTCCCAATTTATTTAAAAATCTCTCTCGATAACAGTTAAATCTAATTCTACATGTGATATTTCTATATCTCCATGAAAAATGCCAACACACAAGAAAGCAATAAACGAGTTATAACCCATGTTCTAAAATGCGCCGTCTAGGCGCGACGCTGGTCGAAAACGCGTCGAATTCGAGGAATGCGCGAAAAATGATCCCTTTTTTTTTATGATATATTAAAAAATCTACTTTTTTTTATATAAAAATACGAAACGCATTATGACGCTTATTCTTCGCATTGACAGTCTAAACTTGTGATTCTTGACCTCGACGCATTACGCATTTTAAAACACAGGTTATAACATCTATAGGAATCATGTGAAGCATATGAGTATGTCTCTATCATCTATCAAACTTCACAATGCTCATTACTACGTGCTAACGATCCTATTATCTCTTTCGATAACAATAAAACTCACAAGTAATTTAACTAATGTCCAATTAATTAAAAAGCAAGTTAAATCATAATAAACATCCAAACATTCAAATAAATTAACGTAAAGCTAATTATTCAAACCAAAAAACTCGTAACAAATTTTGATCTCATCCTACTAATGTAAAATCTAGCTTAACGTATTAAAATTACGAGAAATTATTCTAAGTTTAATAAACATCACCAAGAAATTGAATAATTAAGGAGAAATCTTGAATTTTTGACTGACCTCGACGGATTCTCGATCTCTCTTGAATTATCCTCCCAAACTTAGTGTCAATTTTCCGGTATGAATTCTACTTGATAATCTTCTTGCAATTCCACAATTGACAACTTTCACAAATATGAATTTGCCCTCTTCTTTCATAGTAGATTTCTCTAAAAATTTTGATGTTTTTGAGTTGTTTTTTGAGTGAAAAGAGCTTTCCCCAAGGGTAGAAGACATTCTAATATTTATATGGCTCGAGTCTAGGTCAAAGATATCGCCCAAAATCTTGTTAAGTTGAGTTTTAGGACGTGTTCGGTAAAAATTAAAATCGGATCAAAATTGAAAAATTAACCATTATTGTTGACTTTTATTAGACGAGTGAGACTTAATAACGGTTATATTTTCAATTTTAATTGGATTTTAATGTTTACCAAACAAGCACTTAATCCTATAAGGAAACGTGAGATTCAGCTGGATTTTATTATTATGCGATCGCATAGTTCAAGAATTCAACACCTAATTTGTCGGCATGGTGACATGCGACCGCATGCCCAAATGTACTATGTGAACACATTTTGGTAAATTGTGTAATTGTTGATGCTTTCTTTCATTCTTTCACATTTTGGTCCTCGAACTTCTAGCCTATATTTTTGTCATCTTAGCTTCCAAGTGCATTCAATAGGACCCCTAACATCTTCAAACTTCGATTTATGGTCTATTGGATTGTTGAAACTTGGTCCCCATCTTCTGGATTTCACTTTTTTTTTCAGGATTTTCCCTTTATTTCTTTCAATTTCTTATTCAACTATTGAGTTTTACCCATTT